GAGCCCGTGCTTGAGGTAGACGCTGCGCCTCCACTGCGTGTTGTGCCAGGTGAGGGAGAACAGCTCGCTCTCGCGCAGCGGCTGGCCCGAGGCCATGTGGATGAGGACGAGGAGCCGCTTGAGGAACTCGTCAGCGATGGCCTCGTACTGGTCGATGGCCTTCTGTCGCCACACGACTCTCGTATCAGCCCCTCCATCCTCATCAGTGGTGTCGAGGAGTGATGCTCGGAGTGACTGCGACTCCTGTCTAACGTTGCGCAGTGAGCCCGCGAACGGCTTCAGCAGTGCCACGTTCTCCCGGTGCTCGCCAAAGTACCAGCCGAAGTTGTCGGCATCGAGGTTGTCCTTAAGCGCCCAAGCGTGCATCCGTGGCAGGCCTGTTGCGCCAAACACGAGCTCATCGTGCAGCAGCTGCTGCGCCTGCCTGAACTCTGACAGCAGCAGCTGCTGCACCTCGTCCATGTTCAGGTCGACGTCCCTGTAGGTGAGGATCTGCTCGTCCTCGTCCCAATGTGCCTGGTGCGAGCCCACGCCCTCCTTCGACACTGCGAACAGCAGCAGGCGCCAGCCCAGTATCTCGCCCATGGGCGTCTCCGTGTCTGGCCGCAGGTACTGCTCGCAGATGGTGTTGATGTGCTCGAGCGTGCTGCCGGCGCCCGACCTCTCGAGGTATGCGGCCGTGCTGAAGACGAGCAGCTGCACGGCCCAGATCAGGCCGGACAGGCAGCTGTTGAAGTTGCCCGGCTCCTTCCACGAGTTGGTGCGCGGCTTGACGCTGAGCATCGCGCAGAAGCTGAGGAGAGGCGAGCTGAAGCGGTCGCCGCCGAACTCGTGGCAGACGAGGGCCATGCAGAGGGACCGGAGGGCGTCGTTCAGGGCTGGGCGGTCTCCGTCAGCGGTGCACTGCAGGGCTGCCTCCCAAGCCGCTGTCTGCTCGTCCGTCAGCCGGATCCAGTCCTCGGGGCACCTGCCCTGGTCCGCACTCCCGTCTCCCGTTGCAGCAGGCGTAGGTGGCGTGAAGTGGCTGCCGCAGTATGCCACGCGGTAGCAGTACGTCATGAACTGCTTCCAGTACCCAAAGTTCATGCGCAGTGTGGAGGGCTCCTTCTTGGGGTCGAAGCCACGTGCCCTGCCTGCCCTGTAGCTGGCTGACGCCGATGATGATGATGCAGGCGCTTCGCGGAAGCGGCTCAGTGCGAGCTGCCTCGGCCATGTCAGCATGCAGTCCGGCCCGTCGAAGCACCAGCCATGTGCCTCGGCGAGGATCTCGTCCATGACCTCGAGCATCAGCAACAGCTCGGGCTCTCCCTCATCTGCGCTCTTTGGCAGCGTGTAGGAGGCATGCATCTCGTCCTTCTGCAGGCCCCGCACGTGGTTTGCGATGCCCGTCCGCCCCAGCCATGGGACCACGGCCGAGCGGTGGCTGTCGAAGCCGTGCACCCTGTTGGCCTCCGTCTTGATGTCCTCTGCGACCATGTTCGCGTCCTCCTCAGCCAGCTCGAAGAAGTCCTGCTCCTGCGGCTCGAGGGCAATGGCAGCAGTAGCTGCGTCCCCTTCCGCCCTGCCGTCGTCTGTAACCGCGAAGTACCGGACGTGCTGGGTCTCAGCGAAGAAGGTCTGGACAGTGCACCTTCGCCACGACCTGCCCTCGGCCTGCCTGGCCGGCTTCTGCCCGTGCTCCTTGGACACGTGCGCCCTGATAGCTGGCTCCGACCGCGTAAGGCTCAGGCTCTGGCCGTCGACATCGCAGATGGCGCACACGAATGCCGTGTGGCACCGCAGTCCTGGAATGGGTGCGCAGAGCTGATGCGGCAGCTCGACCTCGCCTGGCAGCCGGAGCTCATATGTCGCGAAGAGGTCGAGCTGCGCTCGCAACTGAGAACCCTTCAGTAGGTGTGGTGGCTGCCTGAGGTGCCTCTCCTGGCTAGCGCGCGTGGGCGGGAGGCCGGTCTGGCACTTGGCGCAGAGCAGCACGCCGTGCGCCCGGAGGTAAGGGAACCTGGCAGTAGCTGCCATCACGTACGTCCGATGCTGGGACTTTGGCTGGGTAACAGAATTACTCTACTAAAGAAATACAGAGGTGCGCGCGCGCGCATGGGGACTGGAAAAGGGGGGGGGGTTTCCCCAATTTGCGAAGGAATATTTGCGAAGGAATGGCCCATGCGCGCCTGCGTGACAGGGATCATTTGCGTGGGGATTCCCAATTTGCGCCAGAGATACGGCCAGTTCTTGAGGTAGGCGTTGATAGTACTACAATAAGTAGTGTACTATCAAAACAATAGTACTATAATAAGTAGTACTATAATAAGTAGTACTATCAAAGCAATAGGGGTAACTTAAACACGTGATATTCTACACTATTGTTGTCACGTGATGTCCATATTGTTTATATTGTTTATATTGTTTATATTGTTTATATTGTTTATATTGTTTATATTGTTTATATTGTTTATATTGTTTATATTGTTTATATTATACTGTATTGCCAAGCTTTATTAGCGCCATATTGTGACAATACAATATGGCCTTTGGCCGTATTGTGGCAATACAATATGGGAATTTCCTAGCAATATACTGTCAAGGTGCACTATTGGCAACACTGGTGTTGACTAGGTGGGCCCATTTTCTTCTCGAGTTGCCGTTCGTAGTGACGATTGTCAATCTTCTGAGCCAATTCAATCATCTCTTTAAGGTCATCTGGTTTGTCAGACTCTATTCATACGATGACGGATAGATTGTTCTAGGAGGTCAAGTGCTTTGGCAGCTGCATAACTAACTTATATTGTTTGGAATGAATAGCTTATATAGCTTGATCTATTGCAATATTACGCTCTTGAGCTTCTACGCTCTTTCGACGTACCATAATAGAGTTGGGTAGGTAAGATGGTAAGTTTGATGGGGTGGTTCTAACCCCACTACTGCCAGTACGCCATAATAAGCTCCATACAATTGCTTAAATGAAGGCCCCTAAAGAGTGGATAACTACGCAATATAATCAAGGGCTTGGAGCTACGAAGCAGATGACATTTGCTACCGTTTGCCATATTCGATGGCCAAAACCACTGCCTTCATATAGTTGGCCTTAGAAATGTGTGTGGTGTGAGTCTCCATCGATACGCTCTTGCTCTTCTTGCAACCCGTCAAGTTCGCTGCCGAGATAGCAAGGAAAGCATCAGCCACAGCAGAAACCATGTGCCTGCCATTCACATCATTCCATGCCACATCACAATGCGTGGTTTTCTCGACATCGGCCAGTCATCTGGCATTGTTGCACGTGGATACGCGCATGTCATGGGTGGCAGCGCCTCAAAATCCCTTCCTGCAGCTGTCTTACCCACCTCCAAGACAATGACAACAGGTGTCCAGCATGGCAGCCTCATCGCAAATAGACACCGGGTTGTCAAGTTGTAGGCTTCATCATTATCCACAGTGAAAATGATCCAAGAAATCCAAGGGATCCAAAGAAAGTTCCAAGAGCCTTAAGGGTCATTAGCTCTGATCAGAAGAAGAACCATCTCCTAGGTTCCTACCCTATAGGAAGTGAAAGGAGGTCCAAGGTCAGACTACCCCTATTTACAAATTATGTCATAACTTAACCAATCTTGTGGGTGACTAAGGAGCGATGACGTGTAATGAATCATAGAGGGTTGTAGAAGCTTTTGGAGCTATCGTTCATGTTCCTAGGCCTCTAGTTGATAGAGATATGTCATGTGTAGTATTAGCCCAGTAACTAAGGAGTGATGTCATGTAATTAATCATAGAGGGTTGTAGAGATATGCTATGTGGTCATATCGGCCCAGTAACTAAGGAGCAATGACGTGTAATGAATCATAGAGGGTTGTAGCAATCGTTGAGTAGTATTGCTCTTGTTGTTGGTGTGACAAGCCAAAATATGTATAGTGACTTGTAGGTTTGAGGAGGAGATTTCTAAGTTTGCTCTTGAGTTTGATAGCAAACTGAGTGCAATGAATGTCAGTATGACAATATTGCCGTCACTACAGTGGTGCTTTTGTTGGCCTGTATTCTTGGCCTCTACCGTCGTAGAGGTATTTCCTTGCTGGTAAGCTGCTGCTGCCATCTGAATTTGTCACTGAAACCTGGTTTCGGTGATAGAATCCTACTTGGGCATGGCCTGGATTCGTGAGAGTGAGGGTTGGCTGGGTTGACAGTCTCGAGGTAAGACGCACACACCGGGGCTCCTCTTCCTGCTGTCTTACTTCAGTTGACTAGCTGATTGATTGATTAATTGATTATATGCTAACTACTCTTTATATAGGTTTCTCCTAAGTCTGGCTGCGACTCCCCAACGCTGTTGATGCTCTCCTTTTTTTGGGAGGCCAAGCTGGTGACCCCCCTGCCCCCAAACCGTGCCGGAACTGCTGGCCACGCCGGCGATGGTTCATTCCAAGTACCGCCAACTTCTGGCATTGGTAATACCTCGAAGATGGTGCCATCACTGTTTACGGCCTCGAAAATGCTGCTATCACTATGGCCATTATATCGCAGTTTTACGGGCAATTACAGCCCAATCCAGGCCACCGAAGAAGGATCGAAAACAGTGAGTCAATTTTACTACTCTACTATGGTTTCTTTTCTATTTATTGGTGCTTGGCGTCGACCGTTTGGGAGGAATTACCGTTGGCATGAGAAACGGGTGGTGCCACCGGAGCATGGACCAAAAATCATGATGGGAACACCAGCCAATTTTGGTGACAGTCCCCGTTACTGTCGTGCTGCCCTTATTCAATTACGTGAAATCCCGGTAAGGTATATAACGTCCCTCTTGTCCTATAGCTCCTGTGCTACTTGTTAACTAAGTGATCCTCCTTGCTATAGTTGTGTTTTTTTAGCTCTCTAGCGCTTGCTTAGCACTTCATTTGCCTATTGTAGGTTTTGGTTCTCTGCTTTTAACAATGCTAATTAATGCATTATTTACAATGCACCCTTTGTAAACTAGTTAACAACTGTATAGATTAAGGTTAAAGAGCTATTTTAATGATGTGTAATTTAGTTTCAATGAAGGTAGACTGTAATGAGGCTTTAGTTAGGTTATTTAGTGGCTCTTAGGGGCTGAAGCGCCATGTCCATCCCTAGAACGAAGTATGGAAACAAAATATAACACCGAAAGCCATCATATCAATCATATCCTGTTCCATCCAACCATCATATTCCTTCCAATCAAAGAGGCCCAAAAAAGCCGCCATAACCCCCTCCAAATTGCACAAGTGATCAGAGAACCCTCTCCTTACACCAACATCATCCTTCCCCAGAAACAGAACACTTATAACCCCATCCTCTCCTCAAGCCCCTGCCAAAACACCGCTGGCCTCGGCTCCAAAACCCCAATCTCCGTCCCAAAATCGCGCTCCTCCTCCTCCAAATCCACCAGACTCGACTGTCTCGACAAGATGCTCCTCACCGTCGCAACTGGTGACTGCTGGCGGCGCGCCGTGCGCGGCTGGTGTCGACTAAGCGGGTTGTAAGGCAACGAGCTGAGATCACCGACGGGACTTGCGCTTGAGCTTGAGGTAGCTGAGGGCGCGAAGGAGCCGTGCGGGTTCCAGGATGCGGACGCGGTGGAGGGGGTGCGCGAACGCGTGCCGGATGCTGTGGAGGAGCGGGAGGAGCGGAAGGAGGAGCGGAGTGAGGCGAGGGAGAATGTTGAGCGGAGAGGGGGAAGGGCAGAGTGGCGCATTTTGGGTGAGAGTAATAGTGATGTTGCGGAGTATTGGTGAGGGGCTGTAGGTTTGTTCTTATCGAGCGTGTGGTCGAAGTGGTATATGTGTGTTTACCGTATTATTCTCAGTCGATTGCCGTGAGATTGAAAGATGGGTGGAAGCCTGGTATGTAGTGTGTGAAATAAAGAGGTCCAGCCGAAGAATCTTAGTTGGGTATGTAATATAAAAACGCTCAATGTCGAACCCCAAAAGCACCTGGCTTGTATAATAATCTGAACGAATGTCTTGCGTTTCTGTCTTCAACGCACTCTCTCAAGAAATCTTCGAATTCGTCACAAACAAAATTACCACCGTTTACCTTTCTCTCTCTCTCCAGAACTCGGAAAAGCAATCGCATTATAAGATGAACTGCCCCCCCGCCCCGGCCCCCTCTGAGACACCGCCCACCATGGCACCACACCCACATATCGACGCCTGCCACGCCTGCTACGCCGCTGATACACGCGCACTGGCCATCTTTCGTCATATTTTCATGGGCGAGGCCGCTGAAGAGGCGGCCCCTTAAACACCCCTGGCACGGCTCTGTGTCGCATGACGTTCGCTTAGGGAGGCACGCTCCGCCGGGTAATGCGTCCAGTTTCGAAGTTGGGGACGAATATTGGGTATATTTTTGAATTCTTTTGCGGTTTTTGGAACAGTGGCGCGAGGGGGGTGATTATAATAAATAGATAGAAATTGGGAAAATCACTCTGACAAAATGTGATTGTTCGTGGTGGAGTTGGCGGTTTGGTGAGGATGTTTATCATGATGCGAGGTGTTTGTGCGGAGTCAGGGGCTACAAGAGTTTCAGAGACTCTCGGCTGCCACTAAACACCACCTCAGCACCGTGGCAGTGCAAACAGTACCTGATAGAGTGGGGAAAATCAAGGGGCGATCAGAAACATTTTCTTATCACCATACCCATACTACTCTACCTGTACGAGCTCACCAAAAAAGCATCTGCCGCCACCGCGATCCCAGCCAGAACAACTCAGCCGGGGATATCTCGTCCCTCCTCCAACCGCCGTGAAACACCGTTTGCAGTCTATCGTTACTCTACGCTCCGCATCACCAGCACAACAGGCATGATTCACCTTCCCTCCGCGACGCCACAAACATCGCCTGCAAAAAACAGTCTGATCATTTCATCTAAGGTATCATGCTTTCTATCGGTACTATACAGCCCCCTCCCTGCCTGGACTCCCTATCATCCCCCCTCCATCACCATCCCCGCTCTCACGCTCAATGCACACCCCGTCCCCAAAAACAAAACCATCATGCGCCAAAAACTCCACGCCATGCACCCATCAGGGCCTTGTCCCCTTGTGGCGGAATCCAAAAGCAGCCTCGCTGCGCCTCCCAGAACAGGAAGTCAGCTGCAGAGGCATCAACGAAGAGTGCAAAAAAATGAACCCGTAACTTAAGCCATTAGCCAGGCCACACCCCCCCAACCACAAATACACCCCGCTCATCAAACGTCTCTCATGCCTTGCATGCACCCCGCCCAGCGACCCATCGCATAGCATCACATGACACCGCCCATTACACCACTGCTCTCACGTCCTCCTATCCCCCGACTTCCTTGTCGTGTAGCTCCGTCTCATACTCGCCCCCCACGCACTGTCATTAAACGCCTCCACAGCCATCTCCCCCGCCATACTGCCACTGCGACTGTGCATTCCCTCCCTCCGCGCGGGAACCATATCACTCATATCCATCGCTGCGCCACTAACCGAGCTATTCGTCCGATGCGGTCGCAATCTAGGGCTGCGACTCGGACTGCTCGTACCGCTGCCGAGCCCGCTAATGGCCCCGCGACTGCCGCGACTGTCAACACTGCCATCGCGTGAATGCAGCCCACCCATCCCCAGCCCACCGATCATATCGCGCAGGCTGGCGTGTCCGTCTGAGAAATCCACTGTCGCGCGCATCGAGCGGCGGGTTTCGTCGCCGTCGGCGGATACGGCGACCGAGCGAGCGTCGGCGTCGTCGCCCTCGACGAAGATCTCGGGTACGGGGAAGGTCGAGATCTCGGTGATGCGCGAGAGTGAGTGCCGGTTGAGGTGACGCCGGAAGCGGCGCGCCCAATACATGGTATCGAAGAAGCCGATGACAACGCGGCGATGGACTTCCTCTTCGACGCGCTGGAGGCGGGCGCGGCGGCGGAGGAACTCGTCGAGTCTGTATTTTGTTAGCTATTTGTATAAAGAAGTAGTGGGGTTAGGGTATGACTTACTTCAAGCTCTTGTTGTCGCTGATGATGTTGTAATGCGCGAGGATCATAAGCACGCTCGTGAACGAAATACCCACCTCCGGGTCTGCGGAAACCATCACCTCCTCGTAGAAGATATTATACAAGTGCCTCCGCTCCCTCACCTTCTGCCCATCAATCCGCGCGATCCGATCGTTGAGCTTCTTGAGATCAATTCCCATGGCACCACTTGTAGTCGCCACGGACGTCGTCCTTGACCCCATCGGCTGGGCCTGCACATCCTCCAAGATACGACGTACAGAGTCCTCCTCATCATAAATACGCATCGCAAAGATTCCCGACAGCTCGCCGAGCAAGCGTGGAAATTCTTCCTTGGTGATATACCCCGTTCCATCCGGATCAAACGTTGCCCACGCCTGCTTGAAGCGGCGCGTCTCCTCGCGGTTGACAATCTCGTGCCCGCTTGACCGCTGGTACACGTATGAGAAACTCTCGTAGATGAGCGACACGAACAGCGACACGAAAATGTACATGCTTAGGATGTTCCATGAGATGAACAGTGCATAGGCCCACGACGAACTGCCGCAGTCACTATCGAAGAAGGTCGTACCCTCCACGCAAAGCGGCGGGCGCATGTTCGCGTAGTCCATCATGATCTGATTCCAGCCCTCGCCGACGGACATGCGGAAGAGCACGATAAGCGCACGCGGGACGTCGCGAAAGTTTAGGTTGTTGGTGCCTTGGCTGCCGAAGCGCGTGAGCCCGAAGGTCTGCGTCATGGCAATGGCGTAGACGAGGAAAAGGATAAGCCAGGTCGCGAGGAGATTGCCAATGCTGGTCAGTGACGCGGCGGCGGTCTTGAACAACTGGTCCAACGCGTTGTTGCGGGGAATCAGGAGCAACGCGATGGAGACAAGGAAGATGTTATGTAGCTGATACAGCGTAACAGAATCATTCTTGGCAAATACCAAAACAGTCGTGACCATTGTCCCCGTTACCGAGACTAGGGAATACAGATCCCACGAGCTGCGCCTGAAACGCGGCCACGTGAGACCGACAATCCGAATAACGATGTTTGCCATATATATGACAGTGAAGAAGAGGAAGAGTGCGTCTCTCGTCCGCGTCCACCAGAACGGCTCGGGGTAGTACTCAAGCATCAACAGTATCAGATGAAGTACCAGTGTAATAGTGACCGTCCGGCTCCAGAGCCCATGCTTCTGCACAGCCTTCTTATAGCACCAATCCTTCCACTTCGGCTTGCTTTTAGTTGACGGCCTCTTCGATGGGGCCACCTGCCGCAGCAGCTTCCGCAGTTCCATCCACGACCGCTGCTCGGCCGTCAGGAACGCCACGCCCGTCTGCTCCGTATATGTGCGCATGAAGACGGAGATGAACAGAGTCAGGACGAACACAGTTGCCATCAGGTTGAACACCACGAAGAACACCGCGTTGCCCTGCGATGCAAAGTCCCGCGGCTGCAACCCGCGGCCCACGATCGACTGCGCGCTCCACATCACGTCAATCCAGCCCTCTTGCGACACGATCTGGAAGAGGATAAAAAGCGAGCTGCCGAAGTTGTCAAAGTCGTAGTAGGGGTTTGCGGGCACCCGCGGGGCAGGGAACGTCCAGTCGCTGCTGAAGGGTGAGCTGTTGAATTCACCGACGCAGTCAGAGAGATTGATGATGCCGCTCCCGCCGTCATTGCAGACTTGCATTTTGCCGTTGAAGAGATTGACACCGTAGATGGCGAAGGGGATCAGCAGCGATAGGGAGACGAATATAGCAGAAAGGACTCGCCACCCTGCGACGAAGATGACGGAGTGAAACGTATCTCTGGCGCTGTCACTGATATGCAGTAAGCGCAGAGCTCTGAGAGCCTTGAACGCCCCAACTGCTCTCGATATAGCACCGTCATTCAAGAACGATGTAATCACATTAATCCACAGAGTAATAAGCACCCATCCGTCAATGAAACCCCATAAACTGCGGAAATAAGCATTCGGCGTCCAGAAACACCCATCAGCAATCATCTTGATAATAGCTTCAACGCTGAACACTGCCGCGAACGCCATATCCGTCCAAACGAACCAGTTCCGCAACGCAAAATTATGCGTCTCAAAATACTCCTTCTGGTACAACGGTGTCGTCACACACGCTAGAACCACCATCGTCAAGATCGCCGCATAGATGAATGCTGAGAATGTATACCACACGATTTTGTTTGGTTCCACGCCGTCGATGCGCTCTGCACCGCGCCCCGGACCCACGATCCGCTGGCAGAACCGCCGTATTGGGTTGTCCGGCTTGAACAGGAACATTGCCGTGTTGTAACTCGGGTGGCGGTTGAGATAGTCGCGCTGGGCGCGCTTGCGTAGTGCAGTTGCTGACACAGCTTCGCGCGCCATAGTGCGCGGGTCAAGGCCCTCGGCGGCATTGGTGATTCGAATACTCGAGTAGAATGGGTTGGGTTCGCGGTGCCAGACTTGCGTGACAAACTTGCCCCATAGCCCTGACAGGGAGCCTGGGGCGATTTCAGGCGCGTTGTCAAAGGTGTGAGAGGTGTTTAGGCCGGGCTGGGGCTCGCCGCTCTCGTCATCGAGGAAGTCACGCACAACGGAAGCTTTGAGCAGCATTTCCATTGTGGACTGGCCATAGTCGAGCGGGTCTTTGGCCTTCTTGGTCTTGCCAAAGCGGAAGATGGTTGAGAGGGAGAGATTGCTCGAGGAGCTGCTGACATCTTTCTTCTGTAGGAAGGCCTTGACCTGCTCGAGGCGCTTTTCGTCCTCGGACACGTCGAAATTCTCTTGAATGACAGCAATAAACATATTTATTAGAATAAAGTACGCCAGGATGGACCAGCCAATAATGAAACTTGCGCCCATCCACGCCGTATTGTGGTGATCGTTATATGTTTGCACATTGTACAGGATGCTCGTCCAGTTCTCACTCGACAGGATTTGGTACAGCCCCAGGAACGCATTCCAGATCGAGAAGAACGTCGTACGCACCGTGTTTCCATCCGAATCGTACGCCGGTATATCGCCCCTAAACATCTGCACCGCCAGGATTGAAATCAGAAACGTGATCAGGAACACGAACAGCACCAGGTTCAGGATACCAGTCGCGTTACCCAACATCTTCTCGATAAGTTTTCGCGTGATCGGCACCGCCCAAACGACACGGTAAACTCGAAGGATCTGGAACACGGTAAGCCAAGCATACGGCTGCCCTGAGTTGCGGATCGGCGGTAAGAGGATGACGGTCGTGACAATGGCGAGAAGTGTGTCGAAACCGTTCTTCCAGCTGCGCGGGAACTTGCGGAAGTCACTGGCAAGGCGGAAGAAGATCTCGATGTCGAGCGCGAAGGTCACCATGATCTCGGCCACGAAGATAAAGTTCGCGCGCCTTACGGACATAGTCGCGCTGCGGCAGGCTTGGCTCACTATGCCAAACATGATGACAAGGATCCAGAACCAGAAGGATTGTCTGTAGATCTTCTTGAGAACGGTGGAACGACTGCGGGGCTTGACTTCCTCGACAACGGCGACGGGGGTGTTGATCATTGTGAAGGCGCTTCGCTTACTCTCCTCTCTAATGACTTGGAAGGAGGACGTGATGACGGCGATGAGTAAATTAGTGAGCCACAGCAACATGATAACGATCCCGGCTGCGAAGAATAGCGCTGCAGCTAGGTAATCGGAGTTCGTAGTGTAGTACATCAAATCCGTAAACGTATTCGCGCTCATGATAACAAAGACAAGCTCCAGCGAGTTGACAATGTTGTCGAAGCTGACTGTTCCATTATACAGTGATTCGCCTTCAATACAGAGGGAGCCTCGAGGACAAAGATAACCCTTACTCGCACGGGCACCACTCGTCCCATCCTCGAAGGTCCACGGAAGTGCAATCCCCGATATCTTATCAAGATGCCCACCACAGAGCTTGAAATCTTTTGTGTAATTCGACTGCCCCTGCGGATCAACCCATGTGCACGTGCGACTGAAACTTGACTTGAACGCCTGTACGCCCACAATGGCAAAGAGCAGCCAAAAGAAGCCGATAAGAAAGGACACGTTGACCAGCAACGGAGCTGCTTTCTTCAAGCTCTTGAGGATGATAGCCGTACCATTCGTCAGCCACAGCAGTCGAAGGATTCGCAGGCAGCTAATCATTTTGAACAGGTATAGATGCTTCCGCATCTCCACCCCCGTGATTCCGATAGCGAAGGATATCCAAAACGCAACAACGGCAACGATATCGATTCTGTTCAGCGAGTGGCGGAAAAATGCTCGCCGCGCGAGCTGGTACCGCTGCTGCTCCTCTACTGTAGTGGGATACGCCACTGGGGTTTTCATCGCTGTTGTAAACGTCCGACTGATAGCTTCCGAGATAGGGGGCGCATCAAGGTGCCTCGGCACTCTGACGGACTGCTGCCTCCGCGGCCCAAAGAAAGTCATATACTTGGACATGAATGTAGTCTTAAGCCCCTGGTTCACATCCGTGCGCGTACTGTACTCCTCCGCGTTGAAGAAGAATCCCGACACGATGATCTTGGCCGTGATCTCCAGCGTGTAAATTGCAAACAATGCCAGCATTGCGTAGTCCATGGGCGAGCCGCTCCAGGTGTTCGGCTTGGGGTCCGTGAACGAGTCCTTGCTCGATTCCACCGCCAGCAGAACCGTCTGTAGGATTATCAGTATTAGTATTATCGGCTCCGTCCACGGGTGCACTAGGAATTCGCAGAGGCGCATCCGTATGTAATTGTCTGGCGCAAAGACGCGCAGGCTGTTCCCTCGTAGAGGGTTCGTAATCGGCCACGGTGGCGCTGCCGGCTCCTCGAGCAGTTCGGCTGTAGGGGTCGACGGGACCTTCTCGATGGGCAGTTGTTGCATCTCAGGTCCATAATCCGTATTCTCCTCGTCCGTGACAAGTATAGGCGGAAGCCCGGAATTAGGCAGCGTTTCATCTGCTGAGTCCTTCCTTCGATATGCCGGCTCAGGCAGCTCGGCGTCATTACTGAAATTAACCACTCGCTGTGACATAGCGCGCATCATAGACCCTGCCCGTGTCAACGGCCCTGCGTTCGACGGCGACGGCGACGGTGACAGACGCCGCGAATCTGGACTCAGACTCTTCCCAAAGCTGCGTGACCGCTCCCGCCCGCCACCCCGCCCGTTCGGCAATGACCCCAGGTTATCACCCAGCCGCGACTGGCGCGACGTCTGTGGGGAGTCGAAGCGTACGCTCTGGAAACTGGTGCGGTCCCGGTCTGAAGACTGCCTCGGCGTCGAGGGGTTTGGCGCCCCGCTGATGGGTGCAAGGTAATTCGAATCCGTGAGCCCGACCTGATCCGAGTCGGTTGTAGTATTAAAATACCCATCCCCCATATCCCCGTATGTCTGCGGACCATTAGGCGAATTGCCCACATCTCCCCGTCCGTAACTCGGGCCATACGGGTCCGGACTCCGCGGCGACGTCGGTTGGTTACTCGACGGCATGCTCAGTCCGACGATGGCCATCTGGAAGGCATGCGAGTTTTCCACCGGCGAGCCGCCCGACAGCTCGTCCTCCGCGCTCGGTTGCATGTGCTGGCCGCTCGGCAGCAGCACTCGCAGCGTCGGGCTCGGCGAGCTGTCGTCTAACCGCGAGTATCGTACTGCTGAGCCCTGCGTGGCTGCATTGCCAGTCATGAGGCTGCGGCCTCGGGTGTGTCCCCTGTGCTCACCCTCGCTGGGGCCAGCGTCAGTGTCGGGGGGGCGGGAGAGGTTCTGGAGGGGTATCGATTGCGGCGGGGACTGGGAATGCCGCGGCGACGGGTTGTTGGATGCCATTGCGTCGGCGCGCTGGTGGTTGAGGTTCAGGTGAGGAGGTGAGTGAGGTTCGGAAGTTGGTGGTTCCTGGGGAGACGTACGCGCGACGGAGGCATACGAGGCGGCGATCTCCTTATCGATTGGAGCTCATGATGCTGACACTATAGAGGGAGAGAGTATTCGCCGCGTGCAGAGAGTTGGTACGGTAACGGACCGTTTAAATCGTAGATTGGATGTTCCTGAGGGTCGTTGAAGGTGTCGGGGTCGTCGATGGCAATGGCAGCTCTGGGGCGTGTTTTGAGGTTGTTGAAGGGACGGGTTTTGGGAGTTTTGGGGTTATGCGGTTCAGCTTTCGCGACACTGGGGTCTGACGTCCTGGGCTAAAAATAGAAAATAGAAAATAGAAAATAGATTTGGAGTATTTATTGTTGCAACGACGAAGACAAGATCAACAAGAGGGTAAAAATAATTCAATTATTTCCACAATTTGAATACAGTGATTGTATACAGCTAGAATTAAATGTAAGAAGTTAGGATAAAAATGCTCTTTACCGTCGAAAAACATCATTTTTCATGTGGAGCGTCTTTAATTAACTTAGTGCCTTTAATTACTTTTAATTACTGGCTATTTCCGGCTTGGCGGCGAGGAGCTATACGAGAACGTGTATAGGGATAATGGCGATAGCATGGAGAACTCCATCTCTAGTATTTGGTACCCCACGTTCTAAAGTTCTAGAGACTAATCAGATGACAATAATACTCTTCGATAACTGGTAGGTCTATCGAATCTCTGATCATCTACGTATATCGTACATCCTCATCCCATCACGTCCCTCCTCCATATCAAATTCCCATCCCCAACGTCTGAACCCTTACATCCCCTCTCTCCCTGCCCACCTTCCCGGCTCGCTCGCCTTAACCGGAGGACTCAAATCCTGCACCATCGGACTGGGACTCAGCGGCTCGATGGCTGGAATACACGTCGGCGTTCCCATTCCCACACTTCCCGAGAAACTCCCCGCCCCATTCGCCGTCACTGGCCGCGGTGGCGACTGCTTCGTCGGCGACATCCCTGCGCTCGTCGGTGGCAGCACAGTGTTGGATGCGTAAGGTGTGCGAATCTGCGCTGGCGTGGAGGTGGGGAGCGCGTATCGCGGTGGTGGACCTGCGGCGCTGGAAAAGGAGGAGCTCGGTGTGGAGGGCGGGTTGAGCACGGGTGCGCTGGCGAGGGGAGAGGGAAAGGAGAGTGACGAGCGGCGGCCACTCTGGTCGTAGGGCGCGTACCGAGCTCCGTTAGGGGCCGGGGCGGATGCTACGCTTGCTGGTGCTGGCGGCGCATGACCGCCGCCGTTGATGAGGGCGTAATTATGTGGTGGAGCAGGAGGCGGGAAGCTGTTTGGGCTGTGTGGGAGGGGCGAGGAGAATGGGCTTTGCTCGTTGAGTTGTGCGCCGAAGACGGGACGGGCGGGCGTGCTTCCGTTCATGGGTGGTGGCCAGTTTGGCGCGGCTGGCACAGTGCCTTGGCTCAGTGGTCTGCTGTCAAAGGTTGGGAATGGCGCAGCGGATAGGTTTGCACTGCCGTTGGAGTAGGCAATGGGCTGTCTGGCTAGCTGGCCGTTCGAGTAAGGAGAGCCATAGGGCGATCTTGATGGCGAGGAGTGGACGAGTCTGTGCTTGAGAGGCGAAGGAGGGCTGCGGACTGTCTCGTCTTTCTGCTGCGGCAGCACCAGCGCCGCGACAGGAGGAAGGGTCGGTGGCGCATTCGCCGTGAGAGGAGGAAGTGTTGGTGGCGCATTTGAAGCTGATGATGTTGGCCTGTTGAATTTAATTGTTATCGGCGGCCGTTTCTTAGCCTCTTCTGCATCCTTAGCACGACGGATGCACGGCTTGCAGACGAACTGGAAGTCGTCCCGGTTGGCATCAGCGTCGCTAACGCCCACACACTTGGTGTGCTGCCACACGTTACACTTCTCGCAGGCGATGCTGAGAGTGCCATCGTCAACATGTCCGTACGCGCCGCAGATACAATCGAACACCCAGTCACCATCCTCCTCTTGGAGCTCATCAAGCGCCGCCTTCTTTCGTTCAATCTCCGCCTTGAGGTGGCGTTCGGAAAGGCGACCTTGGCCAGATTCGAGTTTCTTGTTGTCCTCTGAGAGATTGGCAAGCTCCTCTTCGTGCAAGATCCGGCGTGCCTCGCGTTCTTTGAGGCGCTGTTCACGGGTCTGCATGCGCGACTCTCTTTCCTTCTCCAGCTTTCTCCACTTCTCCTGTTCCTTCTTCGCCATAGCAAGCTCCTCTTGGTGCTTCCGTTCCTCTTCGCGCGCTTCTTCTTCTTGGCGCTGATGCTCTAGTTTGCCAGCGATTCTGCTGGACCTTTTGGCGGTGGCTAATTTCTCTAGATTGAGTAATTCGCGCTCCTTCTGGAGCTGTTTGCGCTTGCGCGACTCTTCTTGCTTCTCCAGCAAGGGGAGGAGATCATCAACTAGTCGCTGCCTTAGAGACTTTTCGTTCGGGTCGCGCGACTTTGCAAATGAAGCAATGGCGTTGTTCAATTCGTCCAGAGTTATTGCCAGACACTCCCACTTGATGCCACCAAATCCATCGTCCTCGACAGCTTTGTCTTCCTTGACCTCTTCGGTTTCCTCGGTCTCATCCTCGCTGTCGCTGGCAGGTACTCGGGACATCTTTCTACGCTTGCTCGCTCTCACTGCAGCTCTGGCTTTCTTGGAGTTCTTCTTGGGGGTAGCTTTGGGTGCAGGCGGTGGCGGGGGTTCTGTCTGGCGATACAGCCTATTGTCGTCTAGAACGATGTATGTTCGGTCCTCAGAGTCCCATCCGAAGGGTTCAACGCGCTAGATTTGATATCAGTACCGATGGGAGCAAGTGCTGAGGAGTAGGCGTACCCAATATGTTTGTTCTGAATCCTTCTGCTCCTCCATTCTTTCCCTGATTCGGTCGGGGTTCGTGAACGTCCATTGCGTAAGCTGTTGTAGAACTTTGATCTAGAGACCATCGTTAGTACGTCGGTGCGAGGGTATTGTAGAGTCTGACCTTTGTGAAGATATCAAACTCGGCGAACTTGGCAGGCTCCTCTTCGGTGCCAAAGGGGTTGCGCTCTGGCGCTTTCGCAACATACTGTCGGCGCGTATATTCATCAAAAATCTCTGGGCTGCGCATCGTTAGTAGTTGTACGCGAAATCGTGGATATCGTGCATGGACAAAGCCTACGTTAGGCCCCTATGAGAAGAGACAAACTTCAAGAGCGCGAGCCCTATCTCTGCGAGTTTTGTCGAGTGAGGCTTCAGGCATTCCATCTCAAGATCCTACGATAAGTATCAGTATTGGCCAGTGGATTGATTCAGCATTATTGCGACGAGTCGTACCTCGATATCCAGATCCTCCTCGAGCTTCACGGCCTTTCCAAAGAGGAATATCCATTGCGCAAGATTTGCGAATTGCCACATGTTCCGTATTCGTCCAAGCAGTCCAGGCTCTTTTGACGCAGGAGTACGAGCCTCAACAGCCTCCACCTCCTGTCGTCCGCGCTTCCTAGAGGAAACCATCTTGGCAAGTCGTTGAGTTTGCGAGACAAGGATTCCAGAACGCCGATGGCGAGACTTTTAAGAGGAGAAAGGATGCGGTAACGGCAGTATAGTTGTTCTCATCCGTTAGTTATAAAGTGTGTAACTCTGATATAGCACTGCTGAAAAACACTATTCGAAGGCCTCCTGAGTTCGTAGAAAATGCCCCGTCGTTGACGCGATGAAGCCGACGCGAAAAGGTAATGGTACAACGTAATGGACTGGGTCTCGCTAAAATAAAATTCCGGTCACGTGTAATCAGCGCCAGTTTGTGTTCCAGCCTTGCCCAGAAATAGGTTTAAAGTTAGACCAATCAGATATTTGAAATTAAGCCAAATATGTAGTTGGCGGCGACTTCTGGTGGCAACGCAGCAACGCAATCATTATCCCACAACATCATTTGAATGCGTGGACCTCTCGGAAGCCACTGGTGGCTATAAACGCACGAGAGGCAGTCATTCGAGCCCAGATTAAGATGCGCACATAGTCGAAGTCCCTGGTTCCATTGACGCTACGAAGACAACAAGATGTCTGCATTCACAGCATTGAATGTTGAACCCGACGAGAACCCCGAAGATGACTTCGATCACACGCGTGAAATCCAACTAGAGGAGGCCCTGAAGCTCTACCAAAATGCCCTGAAGCTGCACGCACAGGGTCCAACATACTATGAGCAGGCCGCCGAGGCCTATGATAAGCTATTCAAATCCGATGTTTTCAAATACCCCGAGAGTCTATTAGACTTCACGCAGGATATACCCAGCGTCAACCTGGAGCCCGAGCCTGAGCCTGAATCACCACTCGAAGTTGCGTTTGCGCCGACCTACGATGATGGACCCAGCACCCTACCGCAAATTCTCTACCTCGCATATAAGAACCATGGACAGTTTATTATGGACTGCCTCAAACACCAGATGAAGATTGCACCGGCTATGCCACTAAGTGGTCTGGCACCGCAGGCACAGCATGCCCTTGAACAGTTCACCCAAGCCCTGGCACGGGACGAATCAGATACCGAGCTTTGGCGGAGAGCTGCCCGTGTAGGCGAGCTGCTGGGAAGCAACACAATTTCGAGATATTGCTTGGAAGCTGCCGTCGAAGTTGACGATGATCCTACGCTCGGCGAAGTAGACCCAGGGAACCCTGAAGAGGGATTTGCGGGCATACAGCTGAAAGAGCTGCTGGCCGTTTTGTCGGATAATATGGCGCTGTCTCATCCGGTTATGGCTCCATACGTGAGGAAACATATGCCCATGAAGTTGAAGAAGTACCTGGACCCCTATCCATTTCTCAGCAAACTCCCAGCTAGGGATGATGACGACGCGGCCAGCGCTGCGACACTGGAAGGACCCGGTCTAGGGGAAGTTAAGACATTCACTTGGAACTCGGTCGCAGAGGCTATCGGCAGAATATTCGACGCATATAACGGCGAGAGAGGCTCAGCATTGAAGCTTACAGGAGGCGAATCCATCACTCTGCAACTGCCGGAAGGCGATATAGAGATGATCGACCCCGAGGTGGAGACCCAGCAACTACCTGATATTGCGGTGACTTCAAGCGAGATAACGCCCCCAGCCGCGGATAACCGCCCAGGAGGACAAGAACTGCAAGAAACTACGCAAGACGGAAACGAGGTTAAAGCAGAGGAAGAAGAATCACCACCACTCACTCGAAAGCGCTCACAATCAACGGCAGGCCTCCCCGAAACCCCAGAAGAAGAGGCTGGCACGCAGAAGAGGAGCAAGAGGATCCGCAACAGGGATACTCTGGGCGGCGAGAGCGCTCTTCCGGCAGACCCTAATATCAGCCTCAAATGTGCATACGACGCAATGTGTAGTGGAGATCAAGAGATGTTCTCGTACATTGACGGCGTACTAGACAAACTTAATGTCAAGGAACTTGGCAAGGCATCCGATATCCAGGCTCTCGTGGATCCCGACAGGCCAGAGGTTAAAAGCTCCGTTCAGAATATTGCAATGCGTGACTTGCGAGATCTTATTCACAAGTGGGACTCTGCTCTCGCTGCAAAATTTCAGTCGGGCAATGGCTTGGACATTATGGGGACCGCTGCTGGCCTCCAGAATAATGGCCTTACCGCGTTTCTTGAACATTCAAAGACCGAATCATTAAAATCACAAACTCAAGCTGAGCCTACTAGTGCCGCTGGGATCTCAACTTTCGCCAAGTTGGTAAATGGGAATTCGCTCACTATCCAGGAGGTAGCATACCAATACTTTAAAGCAGTTTGCTCCAGTTATATAACCACGTTGTGGCCAAGTACCCTGAAGAACGAAAATATAAAGCTGATGGATACCATGGATTCGGTGTTATATTCGCAGCTGGACACAGAATACCAGGAACTACAATATAAAGATGTGGAGCTTGCGGACTGGGAACAGCTCAAAGAGTTTGCGCAGATGATGTTGGAGCTTCATCTAGATCATTATATCAGCATTGGCAGACCCCAGAAAGCCGACGATGATAGCGCGTGCCAGACAGCTAAGGGAAGGCTTGATAAATGGGCGATGCTCACTTCAGACATCATGCAAGGCCAACCAAACGATCCCGATAGTGAAATCGTGATGAGATACCTTTGGGCTTCAGTTTTACTAGCTAATGCCACGGAGCATGTTAGCCGAGAGCACATGGTTCTTTGCTGGGCTGATCTACAGAGTCTACTGCAAAAATCCGAAACTGCAAAAATCGAACTATATAACAATGTCGCCATGCCGGAGGTGTCTGCCGCAGCAGCAGATCGTGAAATCTCGAGGCTTACAACCATGGACTTCTTCCTGAACCTCTTCAAAGACAACTCCGACCCTACGGCGATCATTGAGACACTCGAGCCTGTGATCGATGACCCAACCAAAATTAGTGAAGACGAGGAAGGTGATGCGGCGAAGGAACCCGCGCCTGAAGTTGTTATGTCGCCAGCCACGCGAGATATGCGGAAATTCCTCGAGAACGGCACCCCCTCTCTCCGCCTGTATCTATGGCAGCGGTTGAGGGAAGCTTATCAAGAAATAGAATACCCCACGAGAGTCTTTTCTTGCCATCTCAAATGCATCGAAATCATCGTCGAGTACCTTCAATCCCCAACGTTCAGTCAAATACCCCAAGAAGCTCGACACGCTGAGCTACTAGGCTGTATCAAAACTATAGACGAGTTGTTGGTTAAGGCTTTGACGCTGGCGCTCAACGATCAGACTGCTTTTGAGATTGTGGATGAGTCGCACCTGGCGGCATCAACCACCGCTATTGCGAATCTGTGCCGCATTTTGCACACTGGCACTTTGATGGAGGACCAAGTCACCGCCGGACTTGTGCCCGATAATACTACGGTCGTGTCGAAAGAAAAGGGGAAACCTAATCAGACCTTATTGAAGGCTTTCCTACTACGATTATCCGAAATGGCAATCCGAAGTTGGGCACTTCTCTACACGCTGGTGAGAGAGGGCGTCTCACAAAACAAGGGCCGCTTTACGGCACCAGACAATGACTTATCTACATATTTGGCGACGGTTCTTCACACCTTGGGTCTTCGAGTGCGCTGCGAGCGCTCAAACAAGATTTTCCTCAAAATGATGAAGGTCGAGTTGATCCGCATGAAGTATGTAGACAAGTGGGAAGATTATCTTGGCCAGGTCTTATGGGACCTTTATGGACTACGATTTGGAGAAAAGATTGGCGTTTTTGAGATTATGGACCACGGTTGTGATCGCGAAAAATTGGACAGGCGGACTGCCATGTCCTTGGTTGAATACGTTGTCCTGCTCGCCAACAGAAAGAGCATGAGGGATCTTCTACGCGATGAGTTACGGAGCACCATTGAATCTATGCAGCAAGTACTCGGGGCCGCGAAGACAAACGCACAAACGAGCCACAACTTGCGTAATATAACAGAGTACTTGAAGTTATCCGTGAGCCCCTTACGCCTGAACAAGGCCTTGAAGGGGATGGAGTATATAGATACTCTTCCGGTCAACACTACGGAATCAGGACTGGCCGAGAAGGGCTGGTACTTCCTGCTGGGAATGATATCTCTTTCTAAGTTTCGTGCACAGAAACGTACTCAGGCTGGCGCTACCGATGATTTAAAAGTGGCAGCAAGCTTCTTCCGCCTACAACTTCAGTTTACGGCCGAGCACTGGGAGACCTGGTATCGCTTAGCCCAATGCTTTGATTCGGAACTAGAGGAAGATGTGATGTGGTCGACGGACAAACTGAATAGTGACCAAGCTCCATTGATTTCTGAGCAACGTTCAGCTATACACTGTTACACCATGGCAGTCTCAACGGCGATGCGCACAGCCAACCCGTCGTTCGAGACAGCGGAAAATATGTCAGATGTATTCCAAGACTTTGGCCTTCGTATATACTCGTCGTCGCGAGATCCGTTCCGCATGGAAGCTTTTTATATGGATGATTTCGAACGCCACATGAGTGGTCCATCAGGGATGTACAAGAAAAACGTCCATGAGGAGTTGACTCGCTACAAGGCCTGGCGTTTTGCTGCCGAACTTTTTAAGCGCGCTATTGCCAAGAAACCCAATAATTGGATGTAAGTTTATCTCCTATTCGAGCTTAGCAGACATACTAATACGATATTTAGGAGCCATTATATGCTCGGCAAATGCTATTGGAAAATGTTCACACGCGTTGAAGATGAGCCGGATGCCAGGGCTAGGGCAGGAAGGCCTACAGTTGCGGCTCTTGTTCAAGTACTTGAAAGGGCTATCGAGACTGTCCCCAAGCCTCGTGACAGCCGTTCTGACCCAACGCTTGAGCCGCACTATAAGATAGTGACTGTGATGCACAAGCTCGTCCAGTTTCGTCAGATTGACGCACAGGAAGCAGCCAATATCCTTCAGCGACAGCACTATCCGATCAAAAAAGGCGAACAAGTGGTCATCACTGATGATGCTTCGTGGGAAGCCTATATCGTCGAATGTGTCCGCCATCTACGCAATCTTGACCGATCCAATTGGCAGCATCGCTTCATCGCCCGCTCTGCGCACCTTATCTACGACAACAACGAACAGGGCAACGCTGTCATATTAGCTACCCGTGCTGAACTAAGCATGAGTATCTTTACCAAGACCATGGTCGTCAACGTCTGGAAGCCGGAAAACGAGCGGCCGGGCCGCCACTGCGTCTACATGTCCAAATATGTTCTGTGGATGGTGCATTTGCTGGCGCAGCTCGACGACAGGGCCAGCATGGAGATGTTGACGAAGCGCGTGAGGAAGAAACAGATGGAGTACTATCACTTTAATGAGGTGTGGACTGCGTGCTGTCTGGCATACTGCAAACTCATCCGCCGAGCTGGCAAAATCGATCTCAACCAGGACGAGCTCGTGCGGTCTCTGCCACCGGAGGACTTTGAGGAGATGGCAACGGACTTGGAGCTTTGGGTCGACAACCTGCATACGCCGCATGCCTCCTTTGACCACCTAAGGGAGTCGCTAGACTTAAAGAAGTTAAACGGCAACCTCATGAAGGCAATGCCCATTGATGACCTCATCGTCGACATCTACTCCTCGCTAATTTGGGAAGTCGGCCGCCACCTAACCAAGGAGCGACGAGTCCGCGAAGCGGCAGAGGCGGCGGCGCGACCACCTGTAGTTGAAGCACCGCAGCGACAAGATCCGATGAGCATGAACAACTTAATCAATAATACCGACAGCTCTGTCACGCCGATGCAAGGTGTCATAGAGTCTGCGCCGAAGCCAAAACCTAAACCCCCTGGGCGCAGGGAGATTCTGAGGAGGGCGGAGGTACTCGCCAATCGCGGACATGAGGTGAAGGAGAAAGAAAAGGAAAAAGAGAAGGAGAAACCGGCGGGTAAGGCTGAGTCGCACAGGCTATCGGATCTACAGAACCTACTGAGGAGGAGGAGTAGGGATAAGCCGTCTAGATCCGCCGAGAAGGATGAGGGAAGCAACCAGGGTCACCAGGAGGACCATGACGATGATGATTGTGAGGGGGGTGACGCTGATGGCGAGGGAGGGAGCAAGGGTAATGGTGACGAAGACGCACATAGTAGTCCGCCTGGTAGCGTGCATGATAGCGCGGACGACGAGAGCGACCTTAGCGACGCGCCTGGGCCAGTTGAGAGGATGCCACAGCCGTCGATTAATGGCTGGCACAGCGAGGCGCAGGATGCGGGTAGGGAAGCGCGAGGGGGATAGGATGATGGTCCTTGTTTTGATACAGGGATTATGATATTTTACGGGCTTGCTTGAACTTAGCTAGAGTATAGGGAAGCATGATTTCACTTTCGGGGAATGGGGAATGGGAGGAGGGGAAGGGAAGATCTGTGATCTCTATACTAGTACCAGGCATTAGGAAGGCAGATATAGATAATATGTTGATCCCTTTAGCTATAGTTAGCAAGCAAGTGAGTATAGTATGTAGGCCCATTAGCAATTGGCTCTAACAATCCCATCATACCTCGGTTAGAACTGCTATACTAGACGACTGTCACGCTAAAAGCTTGTTAACGTACGGATCTAACTACCGATGCGTCGTAGATATAGAGCTTTAGCCTATGCGGTGCTAGGGGCCCTGTCCGCCATCAACCCCTATAAGTCCCTACTACTACAACTACTAAAGCCACTACTACTACTAAAGCTACTATAACTGCCACTACTACTGCTAAAGCTACAATATTAGCCTATTTAGAGATAAGGAGGAGGCACTATAGGACGTAGGAGGCACAAGCTAGATACAAAGTGAGATGTTTTAACATCTATAAGCTAGTACTACAAATCCTATTGTCTAACGTACATGTATAGCGAAAGCGCCAAACAAGCGAAAGCGCCAAAATGATGCGGTGACCAAACCCCCCAACTAAATGTTAAATTCCTCAACAACAAAACATGCCCCATAAAAACGATGAAAGCCAATTAGTGCTAGCTATCCAGGCTATGCAAAGCGACCCAAAGTTACGCCTTCGAGTTGCTGCTAGGATCTATTCTGTGGACCACCGCAAGCTAGGTCGTCGTCTAGAAGGTGTACCTTCACGACGCGATATCCAAGCCAACTCACGGAAATTAACTAACCTAGAGGAGTCCGTCCTTGTTCAGTATATACTCGACCTAGCTGCCAAAGGGTTTCCTCCTCGGCTGTCTGTTGTTGAAGATATGGCAAGTCGACTACTTGCAACACGCGACGCGTCACGCGTTGGGTCGCGTTGGGCTTCAAACTTTGTTAAGCGGCGTGTAGAGCTCCAGACACGCTTTCAGCGCAAATACGACTACCAGAGGGCTAAGTGCGAAGATCCAAAAGTTATTAATGGCTGGTTTGAGCTTGTGCGTAACACAATTGCGAAATATGGTATCGATGAAGCAGATATCTACAACTTTGATGAGACTGGGTTTATGATGGGCGTTATCTCAACTGCTATGGTTGTAACAAGCTCAGACGGGCGGGCAAAAGCAAAGAAGGTACAGCCTGGTAATCGGGAATGGGTTACAGTAATCCAAGGCGTTAGTTCTCAAGGTTGGGCAGTACCACCATTTATCATTGTTGCAGGCAAAAACCACCTTACATCTTGGTATGAGAATAGTGGATTTTCAAGCGATTGGGTGATTTCTGTTACTGAAAATGGCTGGACTACAAACGAGAGAGGCATGGATTGGATTCAGCACTTTGAGAAGCATACAAAGGCTCGGAGTGTTGGTGGTTATCGCTTGTTAGTCCTTGATGGTCATGAGAGCCACCACTCAGATGAGTTTGAGGAGTACTGCAAGGAACACAACATTATTACGCTTTGTATGCCTGCTCACTCTTCTCATCTACTCCAGCCACTTGATGTTGGCTGTTTCGGCCCGTTAAAGCAGGCCTATGGTCGGCAAATTGAAGATATGATGCAGGCTCATATTTCTCATATTACAAAGGATGACTTCTTTCCTGCCTTCCACGCTGCATTTAACACTACAATGACGGAAAGTAACATTCGAGGCGGGTTCCGAGGGGCAGGGCTTCTTCCATTTGACCCTGAGAGAGTGATATCTACACTTGATCTTAAGTTAAGGACACCAACGCCTCCAAGCTCCCGCCCAGGTACTGCTCAACCTTGGGTTTCTCAGACACCAAACAACCCAATTGAAGCTATGTCACAGTCTACATTTATTAAAACTCAGATTTCACGCCATCAAAATAGCTCTCCAACCTCAATCTATGCAGCTGTTGACCAGTTTACAAAGGGTGCATCGCAAATAATGCATCAATTAGCACTGCTAAAGGGAGAGAACCAAAACCTACGACAGGCAAATGAAGTACTAAGCAAGCGCCGGAGAGCTAGGAAAACACGACTACAGCAAGGAGGATCACTTAGTCAACAAGGGGCGCAAGAGCTACAGGATGAGAGGGATGTTGTGCAGCAGGTAGAGCAGGAAATAAGGGCAAGCCGTGGTCGGAAGCCAAGGGAAGAAACCCGTGCCCGTCGCTGTGGCAAGTGTGGTGAGACTGGGCACAATGCGCGCACGTGTCAGATTGTAATAGACACCTCTGAGGAAGAGGACTCCGAGTAGTTTCAATTGATTTCTAATGTTGTGGTAGATTTATCGCAATGTTTGTCGTGAGGGTAGATAATTTTGGCGCTTTCGCTTGTTTGGCGCTTTCGCTATACATGTACGTTATGCATAGTTGATTGTTAGTTCATAAGGGAGTAGTAATAAGAGGAAGTAACAGTCTCTAACACTTATCCTAAAGTAGGCTGCAATTACTAATTGGCTTTAGGAGATGCTAGATGTTATGATGGTTATAAAGGTCATAGTGCTAGTCTAGGTGAAGTAAGCTAGATTAAATCTAAAGAGAGAGGAAGAAGAAAGGAAGGAAGTAAGTAAGGCTATCCCTTGTTATATACAGCTATACGCTTAGCAGTTCCCTATAACCTTAGTGGCTACTATAGGTACTTGTTGCCCTAATTGCTAGCAGCTATAAGCAGCTATAAGTAGCAATTGTAACACTACCTCCCTCCCTAATTAAGATTGATCTCCTAATTAAGAGCAGAATCATTGTGGCTTCTATAGGTATTTTTAGTAGAAAGCTTACATGAGTTTAGGAGCATTGTTAAGATTTGTAGTAGGATACTAAGTGTTGTCTAGTAGGTGGTTCTTCTATGCTACTATATAGAACAACTTCTTCTATAGGTATTTAGAATAAGGATTTCTTCAACTTCCTATTTAAGTTCATCTTCTATGATAATTAGAGGTGGTGGTTCATAGTGTTAGCCTTATAGTGCATCATTTAAATCAAGTCTCAACAAGTTGCTATAAAAAACAGGATGTATCTTCATACTTGCTAGTAATCGTCGTATCCAACTTTTCGCTTCGCTCAAGGTTGGAGGAAGCGAGATGCGCGATTAAGAAATTTGGAGAAGCGAGATGCGCGAGTTCACCGCTACTCCTTAGTAAAACTTTTACCATAGCTATAGACAGTAATTTATATTGTAATCCTATACAATTCATTACATGGAGGGGACTCCTATATCAAATGCCCACAAGTGGCTTGCGGAAAACCCCTCTGAATCTATATCAGTCGCCTGTCGCATTTTCAAAGTGCCTGACTCAACGCTACACTCAAGCATTAAACGCCGTGCTCAGAAGCTTACTCACGGAGGTCAGAATAAGGTGCTCTCTACTGCGCAGTCAGAAGCCCTTAAGAAATGGATTCTTGAGCAGTATCACCTAGGGCTTGGAGCTACTAGAAATATGATATTTTCTGCTGTTTGCCAGCTCCAGAGTCTACACCTACGGCCTCCGCCATCACCAAGCTGGCTTACTAAATATATTAAGAATGAGCTTCAAGAATACCACTTTATTACTACGAAGCCTATTGCACTACAGCGTACGAGAGCTCAAGATGAGCCTACTATTACACGGTGGTTTAAAGAGTACCTTGAGTTTATACAGGAACACCATATAGAGCCGGAGTCAATTTGGAATATGGATGAAACAGGCTTTAGGATTGGAATTCCAGGAGGTGAGCGTGTTATGGTGCCACACGGAGCAAATGAGCTCTACACTCCAAGCCCTGAAAACCGTACGTCTATTACTATCCTAGAGACTGTGTCTGCAGTAGGAAAAGTCATACCACCAGTTTTTGTTATTCCAGGCAAAATACATATGGATTCATGGTACCACACCAACCTCGAAGGCACAGAGCTAGTACTGCTCTCCGACACAGGATTTTCAAACATGCAGCTTGCACTACAGTGACTAGAGCACTTTGCAGAGCACGCAACCCCTCATAATGGGAGCCCCCGAGTTCTAATACTCGACTCTCATGCAAGTCATACAAGCGATGACTTCGTCATTGCAGCAGAAGAGCATGACATCATTGTCTACACCTTCCCCTCACATCTTACACACATTCTACAGCCATTAGACGTAGGGATTTTCCAGCCTTATATGCACTGGCACTGAGTAGCTGTGCTTGCAGCCATACGAGAGATGGATATTACCTACGACCTACAGTCCTTTATGAGAGATCTCACACACATCCGGGAACAGACTTTTAAGGAGTCTACTATAATATCAGCTTTCCGGAAAGCTGGTATTTGGCCTGTTAGCTGTAATACAGCCCTTACAAAACTATGCACCTACTCACAACCTACACCTACGCCTACACCTACACCCCTACCAATCTGGGTTTCTACCCCAAAACCCTCTAATTTTAGGGAGGTAGAAGAGGGGCTACAGCATTGGAAAAACTGGGTTCCGGAGGGCTTTAGTAGCCCCTCAAAAGAGAGATACAGGAATTGGCTTACTGGAACTGAAAGAGGTCGTGGCCTCAGGCCAGCTTACGGAGCTTGATTTACGGACTGCCTGACGGCAGGTTGAGGGTTCTAGGAAGCGGGCAAGCCGAAGCCAGGCCCAGCTTCAATTTGGAGGTGAGCTTCAGGCTGCTCGAGCTCACGAGCTCCGGGCTGAAAAAGCCAAGCTTAAAGCCCGGAAGCTCGCAGCTACAGAAGCCTGAGTAGCCGCCAGGCTATAAACCGGGCTCGGAACCAGCTTAAGAGAGCTGGAATCGAGGCCCGGAAGGAAGAGCGTGCCCGGAAGAATATGTTGACCCAATTATACAAAGAGGGTCTTCCGATTCCTCCGGAGCTCGAGCTTCCAATTCCTGACCCAGAAAACCCTCAAAGTGAGAGTGAGGGCCAGTTTGAGGGTGAGAGCGAGCATGGGAGCGAGCGGAGTGAGGAAGTGATAGTTTTGTAGAATGGCACAATTAGGTATCTTTACATATAAATTACTATGGCATGGTACATATAACATACAATTTGCGAAATCGCGCATCTCGCTTCTCCAACTTTCTCAATCACCCGACTCGCTTCCTCCAACCTTGAGCGAAGCGAAAAGTTGGATACGACGATTAGATCTAGCTAATATGCCACTTGTCTAATTCATTCTAGAATCTTAAATAGACCAACTTGCTTATAATCAAGCTTTTTAGATAGTCTCTAGGTTTTGATATTTCGAGCAGATAGCTATACTCTGTCTCTAATTTAATATCTTAGTGAAGGTTTTCTGTGCTAGTTTGCTATAGTCTCTATCTGAGATTAAGAGAGTGTAATTTGATCTTATAGAAATTCTTAAATATCTTAAGCTATGTCCTTGTGTTCTTGTAAGGTAGTTTAGAACTTGCTATTCTCTATATCAAAGCTCATTATTAGCTCAAAACCCTTGTTTGCAAAAAATGGGCTAATTTTTGCTAAGTCTAATAGAAGAGCATTTGCTATAAATTCTGCCATATAGAGGTATCTAACCTAATTGTCTTGTAGGTAGTTAACATGAGCTTGTAAGTATCATTCTAGTTCTGCATTAAACCTCTTAGTCTAGCCATCTGTTTTAGGGTAGGATGCTGTAGATAGTTTTGTTGTGATTTTCTAAACTTTACATAAGACTTTCTATACTATAGTCACAAACTAGGGCCCTCTGTCTAAAATAATTGAATTTAGCAGGCTATAGTATTTCTATAAATGCTAGAGTAGTAACTACACTATGGCTTCTACTACAGTGCCTTCCTAACCTACAAAGCGTAGAATAAAGTGATGTTCTTTTGTTAATTAACAAGCTACAACATGGATAGCATTGTTTCCTTCACATAATGGTAATCCTATAATGAAATCAAGTAATATGTCCTTCTATAGTTGGTTTCTAACAGGAATTGGTTATAGAAGTCCATTATATGCGTCTCTTGTAGGTTTTGACCTTTTGTATAGATGCTTTGTCATTAGTAGCATTGTTTAAAGCTGCTGCTTTGTTAGTCATCCTCATTACTAGCGAGACCAGTTCTGAGAATTCACTCCAGAACTGAAAACTTCGCTCCAACCCCAGAAAGCTACCCACACCCCTGAACCCTCACTCGAGCTGCAAGTGTAACGCTGACTTCTAAACGATAGAAGACACAGAGGTTCTCTTGCGTAAAGGTTTACTTATCAGAGGAGGCAGGGGATCAGACACAAAGGCTTCAAGTAACACGTTACTAGTATATAACAAATACTGTATTGAGTTGAGCATGAAGCTCCTATCTAAGGAAATACTATCTACTTATATAGTGGCGTCGTGCCTAGTGGACTCCTGGGAACTCACTCGAGTCCTCGGAGTCCTGGACTCTTAGGATTCTTCTAATCATCCTGCGAGTCCGTCACGTGCCTAGTGGACTCCTGGGAACTCACTCGAGTCCTCGGAGTCCTGGACTCTTAGGACTCTTCTCATCATCCTGCGAGTCCGTCACGTGATACTTTCGGAACTACTATTCCCCGCTGCCCCTCCAGGTACCAGGGCCGGTCTCATGCGACCTCCCTCCTTCCTGTCCTGTAGTTGGCCAGCCTTCTTGTTCCATCGTAACAGCAAGGTGCACTTGATATCGTAACAGTCTGCAAGTCCGTACGAGCCAAGATGCCTGCTGTTGTCCAGTTATAGTCGCTTAAAGTATGAGGTTTATATGGTGGTTTTTTGTCGTGGCCGACCGACCTATTGGTCTAGCGAAAGCAGCATATAATGATATGCTATATCCAGGGCTCATAACTGTTGAACTAGCAAAAGTGAATCAATCCACTTCTGCTGTAGTTCTTATAGTCGGGCTATATTATAACAGAGTCACGTGATCTCGTACGAATACCTCCTTAGATTTCAGGTTACAATACAGAGAGAGGGAAGACATAATCATTGGTTCTCAAACCACCGCCTGGAGGCGGTTGGCGAAAGCGAACTGGGACGCGAAAGCGATTGTGGGACACTTCGGGAGCAGACTCACGACGCGACACAACCGACCATGAACACGACTGACAACGTAACAATGCTGTAAATATATATAAGTTATAGAATTAAATAATTAAAAAAGATTTGGATCAATATTGTCAGGCAGTGATTGATCATCACAGCCACCGTCACTTGCATCGTGAATCATGTCGTAGTCCAAGCCTGCAAAGTTCACGTACCCACTCTCCTCGATGGCTAACAGTCGGTCCGCCTCCTCCTCCTCCTCACGTTTCTTCTGTGTAACGTCTGGGTCAATGATTTCTGTACGTAAGCCAATTGGTGGCTCCGTGTCTGGGTTACTTTTTTGAAATTCATGTAGGTCCTTTTCCCGTGTACGTTCTGCCTTCCATGCATCGATGCCAGCACGGAGCTGCATCTTACGCTCAACGTTCACCATGCGTGTTCTCTCTCTTTTCTCCCGTGCTTCTTCTAAAAGTTGCTCCCTTACCTTCTTCTCATAAATCCTTTGCCGTGCATGTTCAACTGTAATAGCACCACCTTTTTGAATAGATTTCCGACTTCTAACCTTCCGCTGTCGTTGCTCGGTCATAATAGTAGTAATTTGTACAAGCTCTGACTGGAACAGCTCAGCCTCTGTTAAGTGAGTTTGGATTTCAGTATAAGAAGATGCCCACTTTTGCCGTGATGGTGAACTAAGGATCTTATCAAATGTTTGACTCCATGTTGAAAGATCATAACTTGCTTGAAATGCGCGTTGTGGTGTTTCTAAAACTTCTGGTTTTGCATATATAGCAACCTTCTCTTGAATCTTTTCATAGTTAGGTGGCCAAATACCTGCGTCTCTAAAAGACTTGATACAGTTACCCTTTGTAAATGTCTGCTTACGGATAGTAGACAAGTCTCTAAAGAAAGATATAACATTATAATCTGTATCAAAATTCCGGATTGCTTGTTGAATTGCACGTCGGTGCCAATGTTTATATTGTGCAAACACAGTAACATCTAGCGGTTGTAGAATATGCGTAAGATGAGACAGAAACACATGTAAGAGTATATTGTGTTGATGTGCAAGTATTATAAACTCTGGAACTTCATGTGAGACATGAGAGTCCATTATTAACAATTTTGTTCTTATAGACGGTGTATGTTGAATAAAATGCTGTAGATATTCCGTTGCAAGCTCAGAGTTTGTATATCCGGAATCGGATACTGCAACTTTCTCATCACCGTGTAGATTGTCATGGTACCAATTTCCATGTGTAATTTTCCTTGTATAATAAGGAACGGTGGAAGTGCAATGCCAGCAGCTGAAATTGTCTCTATAACTGTAAGACTTTGTCTGTTCTCTGGAGCTTGTATATAAAGCTATAAATATTAGAATAATATAAAGTAAGATAAGTAGAAACAACTTACCTCCTTTACTGCAGATGGTACCAACACATGTTCACCGGTGCTCATTCCTACACGGAATCCAACTTCATCAAAGTTGTAGATATCACCTGCAGTAATATCTAGTTGATTACACACATCTTTAAATTCATAAAACCATTCTTTAATAGCTGATACTTCATGAGATGCAACCCGTGCTGCTTCAATTGGCCGGGTTTTTATTGTATGGAAGTTGTGTTGTTGTGTCTTAATCCATGTCTGGAACCACCGTTGTGATGGTGGTGCACGTGTTGGAGTTTCTACTGCACGTAGTTGGCAGATGGCACTGAAAACCATAGGCTTAGTTGCACCGTACCCATTTTCGTACGAGCGTTGGATGTATCTTTGTATAGCTGTAACTTGTACATCAGACAGTACTCTGTTCTGGCCTCCGCGTGGCACAGCGGTGCGTTGTGGTGATGCGCGTCGTTGTCGTAGTCGTATAGTCAGGAGCGTACTTGGGTTTACTCTGTACATCCGTGCTACTGTAGCACTCTTCTCTGTTGGGTTTTCATTTAAAAATTCAATGGAATTTAAAAGAGCTTCATTTTTATTTACTTCAACTACCGGCATAGTTGTGGTTGTAGTTGTGCTCGTTGTCGGTCATTGGTCGGTCGTGTCGCGTCGTCAGTTCGCTCCCGAAGTGTCCCACAATCGCTTTCGCGTCCCAGTTCGCTTTCGCCAACCGCCTCCAGGCGGTGGTTTGAGAACCAACGATTAGATATTTACTTAACATAAACTATAAACGGAAGCCGCGTTGTTCTAGACCCGGAATGGGTTATCACGTGAGTGCTATCTTGTAATATAAGGTGATATTTATTTAACTTCTAATTCTCTTAAGTTATACATCACAACCTCAAAGCGAAATAGCAATTTATACACATCACAGCGTCATACAAAAAACAACAGATTCTACAGAAAAAATGGTGTTCTCCAAGGTCGCAAACAGGGAGGAGCCAGTATATGATGCAACGTGAGATATCCCCACCTCAGAAGTCCCTTGGGGTTCAACAAACAAGCCACTAACACATGATAGACGCCCATTCCCAGCCCTCAAAGTCCTATACCACTACAAAGTCCTCAGCGCCCCAGGAAATTCCGTGCTTGCACTCAAAGTCACCTTTCCCCCAGGAGGGTCCACGCCACCTCATACCCACGCAGGCGCATTCGTTGCAGTCCACGTGCTAAGCGGATCCGTCCTGAACAAGATGGACGATGACCCCATGACAATTAAGAATGCTGGCGACAGCTTCTACGAGGCTCCTGGGTGCAGACACCGCATCAGCGATAACGCCTCGGAGACGGAGGAAGCTGTCATAATCGCCATGCTTATGCTGAGTACTGAGAAGATGGACGAGATTGTCAACAAGGAAGGAGCGGCCGGACTGCTCGTCATTGACGAGGAATATCGCGAGGCGCAGATGGAAAAGCTTCAGGCGCAACACGGAGCGAAGTGAAGTCGAGTCTACCGCTTGGGATGGGCAAAGTTGCAGAAATCAGTCTCAGGACGAAATGTCTAATTCCTCCATATTGGTGGCCAAAATCCCGTTCTCCCGCATGATGTTCTTGCTCTAGTGTTGGTTGCCTGCCAGAAAATCGCCCCGCACAACCTTTCCTCTCCACTTAACCCAACTCTTGTTTTCAATCTTCACTACCACCCTTCTACCCTCCCTTTGGCGAATGCCGACTGGTTCTGTAGAAATGCTCTTAATTCACTGTCTGTCGGTATGGTATGCCTCTTTTCCATAACTTTTGTGATATGAATTCCAGTTCCACTCAACAGAGTTTCCAAAGTCTCTCTGGTTACAAACTTGCTCTCCCCTCGATCAGACAGATTGAATGCTAAAAATCTATCCGGCAGAGCATTATATGAGACCGAGTGCACAGCATGCATACACTCTCCATATAAAATATACCGCTGTGGGAAGTACTTGTCTCGATTCAATAACCCAAATAATTCCTCGCTATGTCTCGCCATCCAAAATCGAGTTTCTTGAACTGGCTATGCGAGCTCGAGTTCACAAACTGAGATCTGTTCTGTACCAACAGTTGTCGACCTGAAGACAAGCTAAAGGCCATATTCGCGCCATCGACTTTTTCTGTGATCACCACAGTGCATCCGGGTGAGAGTGCAGGCGCAGAGGGGAGTAGAATATCATCTGAACCAATGGCACCAAGATGGATAAGATGGGCTGTGCGAGGGAAATTTAGGAGTCCAAAAGTAGGCGAGAGGCGAGAGATTAGATCTTCAGACGCCACAAAGGACTTCACGGTGAGCACTGCCTTAAACCCCTCTTTCAACTCTGGCGCGGAAAACTGTTCCGACATCTGTTTCACCGCATTCAGCACCCTTGGTCCTAGGGAAGCATAGGGTGGTCAGTCGCTAGGCGCGCCAAACGCATAGCTCAGTATCGTAGCTCAAAAGCTTGAAGTTGCTCGGTTCCTGCTGTCAATTTCTTGATATAACGACGGACTAGTGTAGTAATATCCGTACGAGCTTGTATGTTAAATTAAGAAGCTCATTTGCTGCCCGTAAGGTAGTTTCGTTCGAAAGTGAGCTATTCACAAAGACTTGATCGAAAATATCAAATTAGGTTGGTGTTTTAGGTCTTTCTAGCTCATGAGTCAGTGTTGCCAATAGTGCATCTTGGCAATATATTGGAATGAAATTCCCATATTGTATTACAATCATATACTCGGTGTTCCACCCACTCGCTTCGCTCGTAGGTGGCGACAGCGATCTATGCACGCGACAGCGATATGTGCATGTACACCGCCACTTTGATATAGATGAAATAATAATATTTGTCGTAACAACAACCCTCTACGATGCCTTTGAATAGCGATCCAAGTCGAGCTGACCATCTTATTGAGGCCTGGCAGTTCTACTTGAAACAACCAGATACTTATACAATTACTTGGGTTGCCCGCAAGTTTAATGTCAACCGTGAGACACTCCGACGACACATTACTACCCCTCTCCTTCCCCGCGGGGGTCAAAACCGAGTTTTATCTCAAGAACAAGATACTGCAGTTTGTCAATTTATATATGACCAACTTAAGCGTGGGGTCCCTGCAAACCGATCAATGGTTTTACGGGCTGTTGCGGACTTGCGACCCGATCGTACGATCCCATCGCAACGGTGGTTGCAATGCTTCCTTAAGGCACACCCTGAATTCCACTCGATTCATACGAAAACTTTAAATACGCATGAAAGCAGGCACAAAAGAAAGAGGTGTTTGAGGAATTTTTCCTTACATATAACGCACTTATTACAAAACACAACATTAAGCCATATAACTTATGGAATGTTGACGAGACTGGCTACATGCTTGGATGTTATAAATCTACAGCTGTTATTGTGCCGATTGGCGTAAAGCAATGGACTGTTGATAATCCTGAGAATTGGCTCTCTGTTACTGTGATTGAGGGAGTAAATGCAAGTGGTACAGCAATTGCAGAAGCCATTATCATTCCGGGGAAACTTCATATGGACTCATGGTATAATGATAACCTTGAGCCAAATGCTCTTGTTATCGTTAATGAGAGTGGGTATTCAAACGACGACATTGCAATTCAATACCTCATGCATTTTATTCAACTATCTGCAGAGCATATGGCACCAGACGACACCCGCCTCCTATTACTCGACGGCCATGACTCTCATAAAACGGAGCACTTTCTCACATTAGCAGAAGAGCATAACGTTGTTATTTGCTGCCTTCCTGCTCATACTACGCATCTACTACAACCTCTTGATGTAGCAGTTTTTAAGCAGTGCAAACACTTCCATCAAAAGGCACTTGATCAAGCAGTACGTAGCTATGACTATGAGTATAAGCTACGTACGTTCCTTTCCAACCTTCCACAAATCTGACGGCAATCCTTAACTGTCGGGACAATTCAATCAGGTTGGAGAAATGCAGGACTATATCCATATAATCCTCCACTAGTAATTGATAAAATACAAGAGACCCGGAATCAAACACCAGACTATGAGCCATTTGCTTCGTACAACCTTATCTCAACTCCAAAAACTAGTGTGCAAACTATACAGGCAGTTAAACATTGGCAGAAGAGAGTAGAGGCAGCTTTCTTATCACCGTCAAGAGAAGGGTTTCAATTATTTGCATGTGGAACTACAGTTGTTTTACATCGGGCTGAGCTCTATAAGACCGAGCTTGACATTGTTACCTTACGGTCAGCAGAGCAGAAAACAGCAAAGGCAAGGGCACAGAAATCGCTACAGAAGGGGGGGCAGTTATATGCATCAGATGCCTGACTGTTACGTGAGGAGAAGGAAGCAAAATTACAAGCAAAGGCAGAGGCAAGAGTAGCAAAGGAATCAAAGCAAATAGTAAAGCAGCTACAGGTGCAACAACGGAAAATTGAAATCGAAGAGCGAAGGGTTGAGAGGAAGAGGGTAGCAGAGCAGAAGAAGGTTGGGTTAAAATCCAAAGTGATAATTTTACGGTATGGTAAGGATCATAGTGATAGTAACATTGAGATTAGTAGCGACAGTAGTAGTGGAGATAGTGATAGTAGCTCTATTGATTTTATTATTTAATTATATAGTTACATAACGTACATGTATAGCGAAAGCGCCAAACAAGCGAAAGCGCCAAAATGATGCGGTGACCAAACCCCCCAACTAAATGTTAAATTCCTCAACAACAAAACATGCCCCATAAAAACGATGAAAGCCAATGCTAGCTATCCAGGCTATGCAAAGCGACCCAAAGTTACGCCTTCGAGTTGCTGCTAGGATCTATTCTGTGGACCACCGCAAGCTAGGTCGTCGTCTAGAAGGTGTACCTTCACGACGCGATATCCAAGCCAACTCACGGAAATTAACTAACCTAGAGGAGTCCGTCCTTGTTCAGTATATACTCGACCTAGCTGCCAAAGGGTTTCCTCCTCGGCTGTCTGTTGTTGAAGATATGGCAAGTCGACTACTTGCAACACGCGACGCGTCACGCGTTGGGTCGCGTTGGGCTTCAAACTTTGTTAAGCGGCGTGTAGAGCTCCAGACACGCTTTCAGCGCAAATACGACTACCAGAGGGCTAAGTGCGAAGATCCAAAAGTTATTAATGGCTGGTTTGAGCTTGTGCGTAACACAATTGCGAAATATGGTATCGATGAAGCAGATATCTACAACTTTGATGAGACTGGGTTTATGATGGGCGTTATCTCAACTGCTATGGTTGTAACAAGCTCAGACGGGCGGGCAAAAGCAAAGAAGGTACAGCCTGGTAATCGGGAATGGGTTACAGTAATCCAAGGCGTTAGTTCTCAAGGTTGGGCAGTACCACCATTTATCATTGTTGCAGGCAAAAACCACCTTACATCTTGGTATGAGAATAGTGGATTTTCAAGCGATTGGGTGATTTCTGTTACTGAAAATGGCTGGACTACAAACGAGAGAGGCATGGATTGGATTCAGCACTTTGAGAAGCATACAAAGGCTCGGAGTGTTGGTGGTTATCGCTTGTTAGTCCTTGATGGTCATGAGAGCCACCACTCAGATGAGTTTGAGGAGTACTGCAAGGAACACAACATTATTACGCTTTGTATGCCTGCTCACTCTTCTCATCTACTCCAGCCACTTGATGTTGGCTGTTTCGGCCCGTTAAAGCAGGCCTATGGTCGGCAAATTGAAGATATGATGCAGGCTCATATTTCTCATATTACAAAGGATGACTTCTTTCCTGCCTTCCACGCTGCATTTAACACTACAATGACGGAAAGTAACATTCGAGGCGGGTTCCGAGGGGCAGGGCTTCTTCCATTTGACCCTGAGAGAGTGATATCTACACTTGATCTTAAGTTAAGGACACCAACGCCTCCAAGCTCCCGCCCAGGTACTGCTCAACCTTGGGTTTCTCAGACACCAAACAACCCAATTGAAGCTATGTCACAGTCTACATTTATTAAAACTCAGATTTCACGCCATCAAAATAGCTCTCCAACCTCAATCTATGCAGCTGTTGACCAGTTTACAAAGGGTGCATCGCAAATAATGCATCAATTAGCACTGCTAAAGGGAGAGAACCAAAACCTACGACAGGCAAATGAAGTACTAAGCAAGCGCCGGAGAGCTAGGAAAACACGACTACAGCAAGGAGGATCACTTAGTCAACAAGGGGCGCAAGAGCTACAGGATGAGAGGGATGTTGTGCAGCAGGTAGAGCAGGAAATAAGGGCAAGCCGTGGTCGGAAGCCAAGGGAAGAAACCCGTGCCCGTCGCTGTGGCAAGTGTGGTGAGACTGGGCACAATGCGCGCACGTGTCAGATTGTAATAGACACCTCTGAGGAAGAGGACTCCGAGTAGTTTCAATTGATTTCTAATGTTGTGGTAGATTTATCGCAATGTTTGTCGTGAGGGTAGATAATTTTGGCGCTTTCGCTTGTTTGGCGCTTTCGCTATACATGTACGTTATTTACTATAAAGATTATTATAATTACCTGTTGCTCGAAAGCCACTCTTAATATTATGCTCTGTAAATGCAGCTTTATACGCTTTTTTAAAGGCAGAGAGGAACTCAAGCTTTGTGATATGGTGAATATGGCGTCGTACGAGACCCTCGACCTGCTTTCCATACGAGGACTTTAGTGGGCTAAAACACCCAACATCAAGAGGCTGGAGGAGGTGTGATGAATGTGGTGGCATACAGAGGGTAATAATTAGGTGCTCTTGACAATACTGTTAGAATTCGACTGAAATATGTGACTCGTGGTCATCAAGAATTAGGAGACGATATACTCCTTTCGTACGACTCTGAGTATGTTTCTCAAAATGCTGAATCCACTCAAAACCAATTGCATTTGTAGTCCACCCGTTTTCACTTAATGTAATCACCCAATCGCGTGGGAGTTGTACCTCGTCATCGTTATACCATGACGAGAGGTGGGTTGCTCCTTTGAAAATAATGAATGGAGGCATTGACCACCCGTACGAGTTGATTCCTTGTATAATTGACACCCATTCTCGATTTCCTGGCTGTGTAGCTTTCGGACGATTCCTTGACTCTGAGCTAGTGACTACTTTAGCAGTAGCAATCATTCCCATTAAGAACCCAGCTTCATCAAAGTTGTATATATCCTCCTCTTGAATTCCGTATTTTGCGACCGTGTTTCGTACGAGCTTAAACCAGTCTCTGATAATCACTGGATCTTCACAAAGAGCTCTTTTATAGTCGTATTTTCGTCCAAACTTCATTAATCTCCGTACGACGCGTGATAAAGTTTGAGGTCCAATTCTTACCTACAGGTGACGCGTCGCGTTCAGCGAGGAGTAGGTCCGCCATTTCTTGTACAGCAGCTGGC